TATGATAATGAGGACAAAAATAGACTTAGAAGGGTTAAGGCACAGGGAGAGATGAAAAGACATAAGAAATCTGCATAACTTTTTGGAAGTAGTGAATTTGAAGTTTCTAACCTAACTCATCTTGACTGCAACAGACAACTATAAAGGAGATGATCTCTGTCCATTAGCTTTAAAAACAAACATGGGCACAAATACACAACCAACCCAAATTCTTTAAAAATCCTTTGATTCTTCAAAAGAAGTCCTCATTCAAGATTTGACAGATAGGGGCATAGTGCAGGGGAACCTCTTAAGTTCTAGTCTTTGCTCTATCCCTAGCTAGTTTACCACTGACCAGATAAATTCCCCATCCCTCAATTTTTTTCATAAAATAAGTAGATTGGGAATAAATTATTTTGACGGTCCTTCCAAATCAGAATAATTCTAATATTCTGAAATCCTCAGATAAAAGGATAAGCATGCCAACATAATGATTTTGTAGAGGAAAAAGGTTACTCATAATAAATGCCTACTTTATTCAACCTTATTTCCCATGACTTTAGATAAGGAAACTGGTACCCAGGTTGCCAAGAGTCACGCAGCTACCACGTGTATAAAGTGGGAGTTAAATTCAGGTCCTTCTAACTCCAAATCATTCCCTTTCCCTACATTCCCCAAATCTCTATTGCTAAACAAAAATTAGATAATTCAATTCTTATTTTGATCTATTATCTTTACTTAACTCACAATAACAGACATAGTTAAGGCATCAAGATCCATTGGAAAAATACTGGAGCTGGAGTCAGAAGACTTGGGTTTGAATACTGGTCTATCATTTACTATCTGTGCACCTTGGCCTATTTCCTTTTTTTTTTCTTTGTATCTCCAGCACCTAGCACAGTGGTAGGCACTTAAAAAAGGTTGACTGATTAATCACAGGATAACAGATTTAGAATGGAATGGACTTTAAAGATAATTTTGCCTAACACTCTCATCTTACAAATAAGAAAACGCAGGCCTAATAAAATGACAAACACATACCACCCAGAGGTATATAAAAATGTATATAAAACAAATTAAGGTAAGATTGGAGGAGGAAAGCACTAGCAGCTGAGGGAGATTAAATTCTTGGATGAAGATCCTTGCAAAGACAGTTAAACTCAAGAAAGGGGAAATTCATTAAGAAGTTAAAACTGCTTATGATTTACTGTTAAAAACCATAAGCAGTTGAGTTGTTACTTGATTTTGCTGAGCTGCTGTTTCTTCATTTTTTTTTTTTTTGTTTCAAAGAAAGATTCACTGAGTGGGAAGGAAGGATATATCTGGAAAATAGCATGATGTAAAAAAAAAAATAAAGAACAGTATTGAGTCAGGTGAAAAGCAAATTGTTTTCTAAACTACTAATTCTAAACTGGGAATGCTAATTCACATTTGTAGTACTTTAAGGTTTACAAAAGCTCATTTCCTATATCCACACTACAAGATATGTAGAGCAAGTATTATCCTGATAAGGAAAAAGAGGTTATGTAATTTGCCAAAAGTCAAAGAGCTAATTAGTATTAGGCCTCCAATTCAGAGTCTAGCTTTCTTGATCCAAGTCATAACAATAAAATGCTTCAAGGAAATAAAAAAATATTATCTTTTTTTTAAGGGTATGTTGGAGGTAGCAATGGTGTCTCAAAGAGGTCAGGGAGGAATTTGCCTTAAATTTCAAAGAATTCTTTCTGAGGTGAATGGAAAATAAAACAAAGTAATCTTGTTTGGAACTCAATAAGATTTTAAGATTAGATTGGCAGAATTGCAATGACACTGAATGGAAAAGGGCATAAGCAAATAGGAATGGGGTTACAGTTTAGAGAAGGTAATCTTTGAAGCCAAAAAAAAGGAAAGGCTTCTAGGAGCAAAAGACTGTGGCCAGAGTCAAGTGACACAGCTGAGTCAATGTTCAAACAGCTATAATGACTGACATTTTTATATCCATTAGATGGATGGATTTAAGGCCCTGATATAAAAGAATATTATTTTTCTAGAGACCATGGGAACTAAAGGCAAGAGATCAGCCTTGAAGGTGAAGGAGAGCAAGAAAAAAGGTAAGAGTCACAGAAGCAATCAGGGATTTGAAAAGAAAACCCAACGTGAATAAGTAATTCCACTGAGTCAAGTTAATTAACATATTACCTGTTTGATTTGTAGTTCACTGTCAAAGACATTCTAATACTCAGTAAAAGTAACATAAGGAAGATTATCACTGAAGAAGTAAAACAGGGAAAGGCCATTACATTCTAAATTCATGAGTTCTAGAAAACAACTTCTCTGCCCTATCACCCAGTTTCCTGAGTGTTGGCAAAGAATGATGAAAGGTCACTGAATACTGTATTGAGGGCTCATATTTTGTCAGAGGGGTACCATATATACGGTGGAAATACCACACAAAGCATTGCCTAAAATAAAAGGGCAAGGTGGAACATACAGGTTTCTAAGCAGGATTGTTATACTACCTTTTGGGAGACCAGAGCTGTGATTTCATTGGCATAGGGGATTCCCAGTGAACAAATGCTCTTTACCAACTCACATTTACGCCTGCTGTGCCTTGGAGAACTGACTGGGGTCACTGAGATATTAAGGAAGATACTGAGACAGTATGTCAGGCAGTATTTGTCATATGCTGCCTCTCCTTTCAACAGTTCACTTTCATTATTGTTTTGACATATTTCAACAAACATACAACCCTCTCACAAAACACTTTTCCAAAAACAATTAAGCAAAACTGTTGAGAAGTGAATAAGACTGACAGCATGTCTTTCTTTCTTCTTATGTTGTTTAGTTTGAGGATACATATTTTTTTAGTATTTTGTATTTAACTTTAATTTTGTTGTTTAGACATTACTGACATTTAAACAAACAGAAAATAAACTCCTAGGCATACAGAGAGAAAATAAATCTAAAAATGTGCCACTGAATCTATCTTCAAAATATCTCTCACATTCATTGTCTTCTCTCCATTCACATGATCACCACTCCACTGTCAGGATGTCAGCACTACTTACTGATTGCTAGAGATTCCTCAACAGGTATTCCTGCTTCCAATTTCTTGCCTCTTCAATCCATCCTTCACAATGATGCCAAAATAATCATCATAAGGCTTAGGTCTGACTATGTCATTTTCCTGCTCAAAAACCTTCAGCAGTTAGCTCTGACTACACCTAAGGATTAGAAATTCTCAATCTGTGTGTGATGGACCTCTCCTTTGTGTGTGTTTTTTTTTTTTAATTTTTGTTTTTTTAGGCAATTGGGGTTAAGTTGGACCCCTCCTTTGGCAGACTATTGAAGTCTACAGTCCCCTTCTCAGAAAAAGGTTGCTAAATGAATAAAATACAGTGGATTACAAAGGAAATCAATTATACTGAAATATGGTTTAAAAAATAGTTTTTAAAAAGCATGTTTTACGACATGCTTTATGTCAAAGATCCAGGATCCCCATCTAAGTCACATCCTCTAACTCTAACTGTCCCTCAGTCTTCTAACCTGGGCCTACTTCTCTTCTCCCTCCATACTACTTCATTCAGTGATCTCTGGAATTAATTACCATCTTTATGCTGAGGATTCTCAAATCTATTTTTCTTGCCCTAACCTCTCTGATGACTTCCAATCTTGAATATCCAACTGGCTTTCAGACATCTCAAACTAGATGTCCAGTAGTCATCTTAAGCTAAACATACTCAAATAGAACTCATCCTTCTCCCAACCCCCCCCCCCCACCTTCCCAATTATTGTAGAGGGCAATACCACCCTCCCAAGTCTCTCAGACTTGCAACCTAGGAGTCATCCTAGATTCCTCACTCTCTCACCCTTCCATGTACAATCTGTTGCCAAGGCCTATCAATTTCACCTCTTCCATCTCTCCTGAAAAGGCTCCTTCTCTCCTCTGACACTGCCACCACCCTAGTGCAGGCTCTCACTCATTACCTCACACCTGGACTATTGTAATACAACACTGGTGGTTCTGCCTGACTCAAGTCTCTCCCCATTTCAGTCCATCGTCCATTCAGCCACTAGAGTAATTTTCCTACAGCATAGTTAAGCATGTCAGCCCCCCTACTCAGTACATTCCAATGGCTCCTTAACACCTCCAGGATCAAATATAAAACCTGCCTTTTAGTATTCTAAACCCTTCATAGCCTAGCATCTCCCCTGCCAACCTCTTTCTAGTCTTCTTACATCTTACTCCTCGCCATGTACTCTTAGAAGCAGAAACACTGGCCTCTTTGCTGTTCCATCTCCCATCTCTGTGCATTTTCTCTGGCTGAGGGAATCTCCCTCCTTATCTTCTTCTCCTGGCTTCCTTTAAGACTCAACTAAAATCTCATCTTCTACAGGAAGTCTTTCCCAACCCTTCTTAATTATAATGTCTTCCCTCTATTAATTATTTACTATTTATCCTATATAGTCCTTGTTTGTAAATATTTGTTTGCTTGTTGTCTCCCTATTAGACTGGTGAGTTCCTTGAGTTCTACACTGTGCCTGCTGTTGTATCCCCAGATACAGTGCCTGGCTTATAGTAGGCATTTAATAAATGCTTACTGACTGACTAAAATATAAACTCAGGATGGCACTTAAAGTCCTCTACAACCGGTTCCAACATTCCCTTTTTCTGCCTTATGTCACAATACATACTATACTACCCTTCACAAACTTGACCTATATAGTATAGGTGTTTTTAGTTGACTTTTTCCAAAACTAAATAGTGATACTTTGCTTTATTTATACAAAGTTGTTGATAATTGTATCCCAAATACCATTTGCCCATTTGGCAGGAACCACACTGTTAAGCAACATATTAGATTGAAAGCATTTTACTAACATGCTAGATAACGTAAATAAATTTTCCCTGTAGTTCAATGTTCTTTTCACTACTTTGTGTAATATGGCCTTAAGTGATAGAAACTTTTTTAGTTTTTATATCATATATTTATGAGTGTTTTAACAGTTCAAATTAAATCTTAGGAAACTAATAAACTTACCATTGCCATAAGGAAATGCACGAGCAGAACGACTATCATATCCAGAAGAATGCCCACTATTGGAAAAAAATACTTTATTAATTCCAATACATTCATATTAATTTTTTTAGTTTCACTAGCTTTGAATTAAAGGCAAGATATAAGGAAAAACTAAAAGAAACAACAGATTTTTAACATTAAATATTTATTGGAAATATTTAACCCAAGAGTATACTGTTACAAATTTTTTTTTTAAATTTTCAAATACCAGCTAATCTCACTAAAAACATATGGATCGCTAAATATTTAAAATTTACAAATACACAAAGCTATTTTTTAAATATATATTTTTAAAAGATACTTTTAATCAAAACACCATATATAATACAGTTGACTCCACTGGTTCAATGGACAGCAGATTAATTGAGTTTTTAGGTCAAAAAATTTAGAGCTGGAAGAGTTGTTAAAAGTCATCGAGTCCCACTCCCTTATTTTTCAGATAAGAAAACTGAGACTGAAAGAGGTCAAGTGACTTGCCCAGGATCATATACTCAATAAGTGTCAGAGTCTGGGTTTGAACTCATGTCTTTCTGATTCCAAATCAATCATGCTATCTATCCACTACACTAAGCTACCTTGCTAAGGGGCAATCTCATAACTAACAAAATATTTCTTTCAACAAATTGAAAAATGCTTGTTTATACACTCGTGATTGAGATTTTTAATTTATAATGCTTTACCCCAGGCCTAATATTTTACTCTGCATTTTCCATACGTCACATTCTTTTCTCAGAAACATATTTCGTACAGAAGAGTTACCATTTAAGGGCAAAACAATCCTTTAGAACATCATTCTATCACACCAAACTAGTATATCCACCAGCACAGAGCATGAAAGCAATTAGTCTTTGGAATTAAATTCTGCATACTTGAAAATAAGGGTCTAATAATTAAAAGCTGGGGGAAGCTAGGTGGCACAGTGGATAGAGCACCAGCCCTGAAGTCAGGAGGACCTGAGTTCAAATCCGGTCTCAGATCAAACACCTGACACTTACCAGCTGTGTGACCCTGGGCAAGTCACTTAACCCCAAATGCCTTTAAAAAAAAAAAAATTAAAAGCTAGCACCAACCTCTTATCTCTCTTCCCCTACTGTCCATAAGCTAAAACTGACAATGATACGTTAGTATGATAAACTAGATTGTCCTTCACTGATTTAAAAATTGGCAGCTGAAGGAAAGGTTAATGGAAATCATATCCTGGAAATGTTTATCTTTAATAGGCATAAAGCAAAAGGTTCTATTTTTTGGCTAAGTCAACTAAATGGTTCTTAATTGGTAATTAAGTATGGAAATACATCTAATTCATTATAATCCACAGAGATATAGTTTTTGCTCAACAGGAGTTAAACAAATTGGTTGATATAATTTTACCACAGGATATAGATCTGTTTCTTACTGTTGGGTTCCTTGGCATCCAGCTGCTATACTGCTGTAGGAAATAACTAGTGCCCACTCAACCCAGCTATGCACTATGATGCTTTATTTCTAGAACCTTTCCAAACTAAGAGTACTTATTCCCTCCAAGAGAATTTTTTATCACTTAGCTCCTACTTCAGGGAATAGTTTGGAGACCCACTCCTCGTTAAGGAATCAATAAAGACACGTAAAGATAGGAACAGTAGCATCTCCGTTTATGCTTGCTTTTCCCTGATAAGTCTCTCTTTTTGTAAGGTAGAAGATTGTAGCTACAAACTAGGCCAATTTCTTTCTCATGGCTCAGTCTATGCTAATGCTTCCTCCACATTCCCACGAGGCATAGATTATAGTAATAATAATAGTATTAAATTAAGAACTGAAAAAACCATAATGACACACTTGTCAAATTCAACAAGCAATTATTACTTGTTGTATTTTAATAACAATAATATCCCTTGTGCTTTTTTGGATAATTCTGGTGTGTGACTGTAGGTCTAGTAAGTAAATGTATAAAACTTATTAGGTAAGATAAAATCTTTAAAAACCAATTTCCAAGATATGAAAAGGTCATGCTAAAAATCCTAATCTGCCAATGGTTGACAATCATCAACTAGTAGTTTATACAAACCATTCTGCTTTACCTTTCTATTGTTGGTATAAGAGATGGAGGAGGAGCTCCTGGGGGAGGAGGAAAACCTGTATTCAATCATAAAATAAAAAGAAAATTTAATTAATAGGGTGTTTAAAATCAAGTTATTGAATATTATTCATTTTTTCTGGAAACAAATATTCTTCTATTGTCTGTACTGGACAGCAAAAGAACCCCTGAATTAAAAAAAAAATGGCAACTCTAATATCTTATAGAGTAATCTTGTCTAGAACATAAAGTACTAATTGGGAGTCAGGAGACCCGGTCTTATTTTCAGCACCACACATAGCCCATTTTATTAGTCTGACAAAGTCAATTTCAATGCCTTACCTTTTCCATATATAAAACATTAAAAAAAACCCCTATTTTACACCAGGCATCTATTACTGTTCTGATATTTTAGTTGAAACATAAAGCAAAGAAATATTTACCACTTTAAAAAATAATTTGAGAAGTTTAGATATGTCAGAATTTTCTTTAAAAGTCTTAGTTTATAATATATTACCAGCAAAGATCTAAAGCACTTAAGGCTGATAGCACAATCCAAAGGAACTAAATTTACAAAAAAAAAAGCACTTAGTGTAGCTTTTAATTTAGTTTAGAAAGAAATTTGCACCATTATCTACTCCTCATGGAGTAGCTTTATTCTTTGTTATTTACAGTACCTAAGTGAAATACTTAAAAATCACAGGACAAAAAGGGCCTTGAGTACTCAACTAGTCTAAATTTCCAATTTCTGACAGAACTGTATTATACCATTCCATAAAAAGAAAACTTTTTAAAGACTTCCTAAAACGGAGATTTCCTTAACCTTCTATAGAAGCCCACACCAATTTTAACAAACCCCATTGTTAAAAATATGTTATATATTAATTAAATTCTTCATGTTAGTTTTAGACCACTTACTCTTAAACTGTCCTTAATGGAGACAGGGTATAGGCAGTTGTTTTCTCTCTAATTATCCTTCATATATGTGAAGATTATTATTAAGGCTCTCCTTACCCTTCTGTTACAGGTTAAGAGATCTCAGTTCTTTTAACCTCTCTTTAAAGGACTAATTTAAACATTTTTTGTGGCTCTCCAAATTTTCTTAAGTCACCATGTTCTTTTTGGCTCTATTTCAGTTTGGGGATCCATAATTAATGTATTAAGGGGTCTGCAAAATGCTGAATATAATGTAATTACTTCATGATTTTTATCTATACATGCTTTGATAGTGCTTTTAAAAACTACCATGACACACCAATGATTTATGTATTTCTTGTTATCCACTATGATAAATATTTTCCCATACTCATACATAGTCAGTCATTCTCTATCCATATACCTGTGTTATATTTGGCACTTACTCTTACTAAACCTCATTCTCAGCCTGTTACTGATTCTCAAGGTCAATTTGAAATTTAGTTCCATCCTTCAAAGTACTGGTTACCCTCCCGTTATGTTCCACTCCTCTTGACTTTTAAATAAACTTAACAAACATGCTCACTGCTCCCATTATCAAGGCCACTGACGAAAATTTTTTCTAAAAAGAAAAAAAGAAAGACCACCAACAACTCTGGGTCAAGACCAAACCCTATCAGACTCTTCCAACCCTGATCAGCTGATAGTCACTGTGAATACAACCATCCAACCAGTTGAGTGCCCATCTAATAGTTGTGTGGTTGAGACCATATTATCCCAGTATATAGATGAATATGCCAGTGGGATAAAAATACAAATTCATAATAAGGTAAAGATAAGATTACATCTGTTTCTTTAGGTTTACCAAGCCAGTCACTTTGTTACAGAAGAAAACTGTTAGTCTGAGAAGACTTGTTCTTAATAGAATCATAGGATTTATTTCCTAGTAATCTGTTTCTTCGAGGTTTTTATGAATTAGTTTGGTGATGATTTTAACAGATTCCTTTCACCTATAGAATGGTTGTTGCTATATCAATGGGTAAGACAAGTGGTAAGAGAAAACTAATGTAGTTTTCTGAATCAAGACTGGAATGAAGCAAAGGCAGAGCTGAAAATAGGACCTTGAAATCTCAATAGCCTATTCCATATGCTAACCATTTCACCACTGTCCCTCCTGTAACTACATGCGTGAAATTTCATGTTTATTAACAATGATGTAGAAAACATGAAAAAAGGTTTTACCTGGAGGTGGTACAGTTATTGGAATACCTAAAAAACAAGTGATGAAATTTAATATAGTAATTGGATTTCATTACCTGGTACGTATTTAATGCCATCACCAAAACAAACTTTGAAATAAAAACCCTCGGCCTCTCATTCTCCTGGCTTCACTCAAAAGAATCATGAGCCATGCTTTTTGATCATTCTCCACCTTGCGTAAAAGTAACAATACAAGAGAATAACGTCCAACTTTCCTGATGAAACCCAATCTAACAACTTGATTATTACAGTTTCCCCCATTTGTTAAACTGCAAATGAAGATTTAGCAATCATTTAAAAAGCACACTCGTGCACACATATATCAAACCCCATGAAATTAGCCCGACTAAAATATCCCAAGGGTCCCAAGTAGCCCTTCACATATTTCCACAACAGCTCCATCAATACATTTTGACACTTTAATAATAAGATAATAGTCTCTTTTTATAGACTTAGTGAAGTACAAAATACAATTTTGAAGATGAGATCTAGCACTCATTTTCACAAACTTCAACATAGTTTGGGATACTCAACAAGCATACAGTAATACGTTTTATTATAGTGAACAGAAAAGGGAATGAAAATACATTTTACTGGTGGGAAGAAAGGCTCTATAAACACAAACAACCCAGAGCACCTGAAGACAAAGATGCCCAATTTATTGCTAACATTCCTGACTCACATTTGTACATAATGTGTAAACTCTGAGGAGTAACAGTGTTTCCAGTAACGCTTTTGGCCTGAGGTATTCTGGTTTTAGGACAAAAACATACCTCTAAAGAAAATATTACCAATTTATATTAGTTAAGTGTTCTTAAAACACTAATGATAAAATTGTTTATTTACATTTACTAAGCATTCAAAATGAACTAAATATTTAAGACAAAAGTACAAAAAAGTTAACTTGGTGTGCCACAAACAACTGCTTTATCTTAGAGAAAACAATGCTAATAAAATAAAAAAGAAAATGAAAACAATTTTTGAATCATTAAAAATTTGTTTAAAAAGACTACTTGACAAAAATGTTGACATTGCCTAAATCCTAACTGAATGATGCAATTTTTTCTAATTAAAAAAAATCAATTCATAAGTTGCTTAAAGTATGCATTATGAACACCTTCTATACTGTTTCAGTTGAAAAATCTGTTTTTCAGATTTTTCAGATGTGCAAGTTACCACAGTAAATTTTTAAAAAATATCTTAAATAAAAAATTGACCCCCAAATGATCACAGCACCTGCCCCACCCATGCATTTAAAAGATCCTGAAAACGCAAACACAAAGAGAAATTCTAAAAATACTAAGGTACAGCCTGTACACAGTTTTTGAAATTATTAGTACTAAATAATTCTGTTGGACACACCCACATTTGTTAATGTCAATTCCCATTCATCTATGATTTCTTTTACTGCTTTCCACATCACTAAATTGAAATACAGCAAAAACACTGAGTACCCCAGAAATAGACTCCCATGGAGACTATAATAAATAGTAAGGAAAGGTAGAGCATGTTGTATTTTGTTAATTGTTGTCATCTAATTTTCCAGCACTAAAATTCTGTGTGATATCATGGAAAGCATGCTGGCCTTAAAGTAAGAAGCTCTCAATGTTGAGCTCTAACTCTGCACTATGCTTCCTCTGCAACTTTGGGGAGGTCACTTCATCCGGACTTGGAGATTCAACTGGAATGATCCATAAATTCCCTCCCATCTCTAACTTCCATGATCCTATTTAATTGGTTCATCATGGCACGTAACTGACCCTGCATTCTCAAAAATTATGCATACAGAACAAAAGGTTCTGGCAGGTCATACCAAGTTGGAAAGGTTTTCAATAAGGGCCTAGTGATACACTTCCAAGTCTATAGTCCAAGGAATAGACTAGCTAAATGTAAAGAGGATTATCAACCTATCCAAATCCTAAAAGCATTTATCTAGTAGCTCCAGGTCATAATGCTAACACCCTCCTCACCCCCCCCCCCCCCCCCCCCGCAAAAGGAGTTAATGCACCAAGTCCATGGTCTAGCTTTCCAACCTAGTCCTATCCTTATACTGTATTTGAAGACTACAATGGATGATCATATATTTGTTCTCACCATCACTCCTAACTATGCTACTCTGTGCAGTACACTCTCTTACCTAACCATAGCCTCCAGTCATCACACTCGCCATTCTCTGGCCTCACTCCCCACCATAAATAATCTTGACAACAGCTAACCACTTAAACCACACAGGTTAATTATCAAGCTCTTTGCCACCTTTGTGTATTGCTGCTCATATATATATATATGTATATATATATATATGTGTGTGTATATATATATATATGTGTGTGTATATATATATATATATATATATATATACTGCTGAAAGGCAACTAAGGAAATCAAACCCTGTGGCCTGGGTCTACTAAAATGGGTTAATCACAACTGAGCCCTTACTGTTGCATTGAAATCTTTCCATTCTTCACTAATTAGTTTTCTAATGCTTTCTCCACAATGGCTATTTCAGACATTCTTTCTTCAAGTTTCCAAAAATACCACCCCCACCCCTCAGTCTCATCACAGGGCCTGACCTGAGAAAAGATGCCATCCTCTGAGCTCCCTCTTCTATTGTATACCTCAAAATCTCTCAATATCATTCTCCAAATCACCTTTGCTCTAGGCTAAAAGCTAGCATCTCTTGCCAAGGGAATCCCCACCCCATTTTGCCTTTGATTCTATAATGTCCTATATCTTCCACATAGAGCTCATTCACCTCCCCCATCTCTCTCCAACAGACAATGTCCCCCTATTTACTTACTGGTTCCTTTCCTGTCCTCTACAAATATATCCGGGTCCCCTTAACTTCCAAAAATCTTTCACTTGGAACTACCATCCCCTCAGGCTTAGTTCTTCTCCCATTCACAGAAAAACATTAAAGAAAAAAAAAAAAAAAAAAGACCTACAATTGCCTTTACTACTTCTCTCCCTCCACTCATTTCTCGATCTCTTGCAAACCTCCATTCATTTTCTCTTTCCAAGGTTACCAATAAACTTTTGATGACTAAATCTGATGGTCTCTTCTCAGCTCTCATCCTTTTTTGACTCTGTGCACCTCCTGATACCCCATTCCCAAACATTCTCTACCCTAAGTTTTTCTCAAACAAAAAACTCCAGTTTTTTGTTGAATCCATCATTTCACATGGGTTCAAGTCTCTCTAGAATTTTTTTTTCTCCAATCTAGATTTCCATACTACTTTTATCCTGAGCTTAGTCTTTACATCAATTAATATCACCACCAACTACCTATTGTTGTCTCAGGCATTTCAAACTCAATGTCTCTTATCTTTCCCTTCAAATCATCTCTCTTATTAAATTTCCCTATTTCTGTCAAGCAAAGCCATCTTTCTAGTTATACAGGCTCAAAACTTCTGAGTTATTTGCCTCTCCTCTCTCATCTAATACAAAGTTACCAAGTCATGTCGATTCTACCCAACAACATTTTGCATCCATCCCATTTTCTCTACTCATAGGGTCACAACCACCTTAGTTCACCTCATTACCTTATACCTGTAAAACCTTGCAAAATCTCACCCTCCACATTGGTCCCCCTTAAGTCTCTCATCTCTTTAATTCATATTCCACACAGTTGCCAAGCAGGTATTTCCAAAGGACAGATCTGACCATGTACCTACTCCCTTTCCTAATAAGTTTCAGTGATTCCTACTGCATTTATGTACACTTATCCTACTTTTACAGATGACTCCTAGATCTATAGCTCCAACCCCAGTCCTCCTAAGCTCCTTCACCATTTGCCTATTGGGCATTTCCAACTCATGTTCACAGAACAGGAACTTCAAACCTGACATATTCAAAATAGAACTAATTGTACATCTCCTTAATCACACTCCTCCAAATTTCTCTCTTACAAATTTAGGGTCACTTCTTTAATCAGTTGCTAATACTTGCTGATTCCACCTACAAAATCTGTTTTGCATGTTTCTTTCTTACACTCACACAGTCACTATCTAATTCAGGCCATCATTTCTTGTATGGATTATTCCATTGCCTTCCTAAGTATGGACTTCTGTCTTCCAGGCTTTCCTCTCTTCAATCTATTTCCATACACTTACCAAAACAGTATTCCTAAAACACAAATTTCACTATATCACTGCTTAAGAACTTTCAGCAGAGTTTGGTAGCCTCAGGATACAAAACAAAATGTGAGTTAAGCATTTAAAGCCTGGTAACAACCTGAAAATAGCCTTTCTAGGCTTATTTCAAATCATTGCAACATACACCTCCTTCCCCACTCCCCAACTCTGTTCCAAGTGAAATGGCTTCCTTTTTTCCAAATCCAAAATTCATACTTATATAGGCCTATGGTTTTCACAAAATAAATCAGCCAACCAATTTTATTGTAATGTCAAACAATAGTTTGATTTATATGAGTAATTTCGTGTAAAGAAAATTACTAAGAAAGCACTTTCCAGTCTTTTACTGTTTCAAGCCTTATTACATTTTTCTTCACTTTGTGTACTCTTTAAACCAGCCAAATTTGGCATTACTGCTATTCCTCACAGATGACACTCTTATCTTTCAACCCATTCTTTTACTCAGATTCCATTACTGTAATATGTTCTACTCAACCCTCCCTCTTAAACTCCCTAATTTCTTCAAAACTCAGTTTAAACACTAAAGTTATAAAACATTCCTTGATTGTTCTTGGTTACCAGAGCTCCACTAGTCCTGTCTCCCCTCTCCAACTATCTTGTATTTATTTTATATGTACTTATATATGTTCATATGACGAAAGTCTCTTCCAAAGAATGTAAGTTCCTTGAGGGCAGGGACTCTTTCATTTTTGTCTTTGTACTCCTGGTCCCTAGAATAATACCTGTCACCTAGAAGATGATTAATAAATGGTCAATAGTTGTAATCTGCTTAGTAACACAGGAAACTAGCAGAAAAAAAAATTATGACATAATAGACCTAATAAGATATATTAAGAATGAAGTAAAAGTTACAAT